CATCCAGTCACCTGCTGCTGAGTTGGTGGAGTTGATATGCTCTATGTACGTCAGAGATAGTTTTATAGGACAGTAGAAAAGGGGATAACTGCCTCCCATCTCACCACAGCAAATAGCATCCACAAGGACAAGGACTGGTTTCTCTGGAAAGCCCAGCAGAAGTACCATGACTTCAGTTTTCTAAACACTCTCATTGCACAGGTCCAAGTATTTAATCATGTTTCTGTAACCTTCTCCAACTCTTTCTATCCAAGTCACCTTTCTTCAGGAGGATTTTAAAAACTGCCTTACCTTGAGTCACGGTGTCCATAGTCAGTGTACCACCATCTTGAAAAACCTCATACTGCCTCGCTTATTAAAAATGAAAAGCTGGAAAGAATGAAACATCATGGCAGTCTCACATAATTTTTATTGGAATTCTCTTTGCATGAGAGCAAATCAACACACAGAAGCAGCTTAGCTGTTCCAAAATAATTCTTTAAAAAATTAATGGTAGACTTAAGTGTGGCACACCACAAATTGCTGAGGACTGTAAACTGTGAACACAGTCTCTGTGGAAGATGCTACTTCAAACATGCACTAGTAGTATATGGACGAGGCTTAAAACCCTCTTCTGCACAATAAATATGAAAAGAGCAAAACACTTAAAACAAATGTTTGTCAGATACAATATCCAAAGTTATTTACAGATACTGGCTTTTCTTACCATTAAATTACACATTGAAAACAGGTTCTTTTTCAATTTTTTGAATCACTCATTGCTGTTTCTGTAAACCTGCTCCTCTACTGCTGCTTCTGAATTAAGTCACAAAAATAATGTGAGTAATAAAATGCCTCTCTCAGGAAGTTCTAACTTTATTCTGTTTTTCAGTCTATTTTTATTTGCTCTAGGTTCACCTCATCTGCTCAGTCACCTCTCCCATTTAAGAAAGAAACAAGCATGTATTTCAATAGGGAAAACTCTATCCTTTCACTGTGCTCAACTACAGTCTCACACCTATATTCCTTTATGTTGCCTAATAAACTAGACTGGAAATAACAAGCACATCAGGAACATGCTGATGTCAAAGTACAATCTATTGTCTAATATAGGACTTCAAACTCATACCTGCAGAAGTATAAAGAAATGTTCTGCTCTGGCATGTCTGGGTTTAACTGAATTGGATTCAGTTCTATCTCTCTCTCTATCTATCTCATAGTGCATTTAAGAGAAGGCTTCATAGAGAAGATTTGGAATGGCAGCTGAGGATATTTCCTGGGGGCCTTATCTCTTTCTCTGTGGGTGCTTATGAGGCAGGACTGCTCAAAATTCTGGTTTGCTTGATAGAAATAGCAATTAAATGTAGTCATAAAATGTAAGACTGGGAAAATAGAAAACAAAACAAAAACGAAGAAAGACAGTCACCCTTACACAGTTCCAGCTCTGAATAAAAGCACTTGTGATAATCTGTTAATGAGAAGAGGCTTAACTCCAATGGTGGGTAAAAGGAATATTTGAAGGTGAACTATCCATAACCAAAGTATTATTTAAATACTAAAGAGTGTACTTGAAGATTCCCAACACGCAGAGATGAAAAACAAATTATTTTATGTTTAAATGTATTCTTCAAAGTGTAGCTGGCATGCTTAGAGATGGGTGAATTACTTTTAGCAAATGAGATAAATGTAGCCCTACTGTCTGAGAGTAAATTATCGATCACTAGATCATAATTTTTACAGACTTGTCCAACACTCACAATAGTTTGTAAAGACAGAACTCAAGTCAGCCAATAATTTAATTGCAAACTTCTCGCTATAGGAAAAAGCAATCCCAGTACAGAAGAGGCCACCAGGACCCATGTGCCACTGGAATACAGTGTAAATGCCATTTTGAAGGTTGCAGTGGAAGTTAAGCAGTACCATTTCACCTTATAGGCATTTGCTAGCCACACAGTGTGATTGCTCACCTATGGTTCATGACACTATTTCTGTTTCTTAATTGGATGATGTAAACTTTCCTGTTCCCAAACATGATGCAAACATTTATAACCCTTCGTATGGTTTCCATTTTTAGCAATGAGCTTTCTAAAATGGCTGAGACAGCCCTGGCAGTGTGCTTATTTGTTCTAGCATTTATAATGGTATCCTTTCCATGAGCATTCTTATGAATAAAAATTGGAATTGTCAGGAATAAAAGCTGTGAGTACCAGCAGTCTGAGCCAATGGATTTTGTCTGAAAAAAATATTTATATGATACTTCATGTGCTCAGCCACTGCATTAAACTGATGATCTAGATAACTGAAAAAAAGGGTGTATTTTTATTTTTACAAAAATGGTAAATTGGACAGCTTGTTACTGAAATTGATTTGACTTTATTTATGAAAAACAGAATAAATCTGTTCAACCCTATCTGAAAAGAAATGCCATATCTTTAAATAACAAGCTATACAGATAAGGAGCAGAAATTTTATGGAATGTCAGAAGTTTGAAGAAACATATGGATTCAATAAATAATATAAAATGTTCTTGTGTTAAAATAGAATTCTTGGTTTTATACCTACACAGAGTAGCAATCTTTACATTAACAAAGTAAAGCTGAGTCTGTGATTAGTTTAAAATAAAATAAAAATACAATTTAACAATGGTATAAAAAAACCCAGTGTTCAATAAATGACAATCCATATAATATATACAGCATGGAATATAAATCAACAGGAAACACAAAATCAAAATGATTTGGAATTTGTGCAGATAGTTGTATATATATTTTTCTCGATATATTTTGGATTTTTCATTTTGTACAATATTAAAAATTAAGAATTTCTATGCTTGTTCAAAATAATATTTCAGGGATTTTTTTTAACTTGTGGAATTATTGATACACTTGTTAAAATAATCAACACACTTAGAATTATTTATTCTCTGAAGCACAGTTGAAAATAACCTGTCCCCATTAGTATTTAGAACTGGAGTGTTTCAGAATTTAGGTAACTGAATCACAAGTATTTCCTGAGTGGGAAAAGTAAAGAAAGTGTTTTGTGCACCTCTACAAAACACAGAAGTGAATTATATTAAACCGGAATTTACTATTTATCTGTTGGTGCAATAGCCAAAGCAAATCACAACAAACAGGAGTTCAGGCATTTCATCTTTCATGAATAGATCACTAACTTTTAAGGCCCAGTAGTAAAAAAAATATAAGTATATGAGTAACTTTATGCACATAGAATTTGATCCTACATTCCTTTAATGATAAATAAGCTCATCTAAGAAAAATACTATTAAAATATTAAATTTTATCCTTAACTCTAGGTGAAGTAGCATGATAATGAAACAAAGCTAAAACATAACTTTTCTGGAGAAGCATTTGAATTATGATACTTCAACTACAAGGATGACCTACATCTGGGTAAAGAAATTAAGAGCACTGTAAATGTTTCTCTTATGATTCTGCCAGCTTGTACTCAAGTATTGAATAGATTTGATCAATAAATTGCCCCTAATTTATAGCTTAAACACCACAAGGCCTTGGGTCATTTTATAGGATACTTAATGAAATACTGTACAGCCCCTCCCAGCTAAAGGGAAAAAGCTCTCTGAAGAGTTCCACAGTTGTACTTCTGCTTTTCAGTATAAATGCAAGCCCACTGATTGGGGGGAAGGGAGAGATAAAGGGAGTAGGTGCCTCAGGGCCTGGTAATTCTAAGGGCCCAGGGCTTCCAGCTGCTACTGTGATAGTGGCCAGAGCCCCAGTCCCTTTAGAATTGCCACTGGAGCACTGTGCGGTGCACTCGAGCCCCACTTCAGACAGCACTGAGGGCTGGCTAGCCCAAGAGAGACGGGGGGCCCCCCCCCCCCCCCCCCCACATTGCCCAGGGGCCTGGCAATCCTGTTAGCTCCCCTGTATAAATGAGTGATGTTTTGCTTATCCCCTTCCCCTCCCCTCCTCCCGACTTAGATCCTGATTCAGGAGAGTGTCCCAATTCTGGAGAGCAGTTAAAGCACAAAAGTCAATGTGACTTACACTCCAGATGAAAGTGCTGTCCCAAATCGGAGCTTCAAATCACAACAGTGAATCAGAAGGCCTTCCTATTCCTTGCACACTCAAACTACCATTGTCCTTCTTCCCCGGGGAACTGCACTAAGCAACGAATGCAAGCAGAGCCCCATGTCTTTCCAGAACAAGCCTGAAGCCTTTTAGGTGCCAAGCCTTTGAAAGCTTACACACATGCTTCACTTTAGTCATGTGAACAGTCTCAGTTACACTAGTCATGGGCTTAATTAAATTAATTAAATGATTAAACAAGTTTCTGTAGGATTAGGGCCTTCAGAAATTCACCAGCTCATATGTCAGAAGAATTAATATACAGCATTATTGTGAAATATTTCCAGTTAACAACCAACGCGAATGAGAGGGAATCTGTCATTGTCTGTAATATATTTCTGTGCTCTAAAATGAAAAGGAAAATGTTACCTACAAATACATTAGAGCCTGTACTAGAGCTAAAAAAATCATTTACAGCCTTGAAGATAGCAACGTATTGAAAAGTTGTGTTTAAAAGTTTAATTTAGCTTTGTTGATGCAAGCAGCTTTTTAAAAAAATTTAGTTCCCTGAACATTTTATAAATACACTGAGCATTCATATGTCTCAAAGACATCTCCATTTTAAACAAGTTTTGCAACATATTCATATTCAGTAAAAATCATCATGAAAAAAATAATTTTGTTTGTCCTATAAACACACTATAGAATTTGATATCTAAAACAGCAACAATGATTAAGAATGAGAACAAATCTCTGGCTTCAGGGTTCTCAAATTTTAAATATCTCTCTATAGTATAAAATCTGATTTTGAGTTTTCCACGTGAAATACGTTTCATATATAGTGATAAAGTACCTAACCATGTGCGGGTTTTGTTAAGATAATTGTTGTTTCAGAAATGCATAGTTGCCAAGACACTGAAATTGTACAAAACACTAAGACAGTAGCAATGAAGAGGACCAAGCTGCCAAGCAAAAAAAAAAAAAAAAAACTGGAAGTAAATATTGATAGATTTATATTAGTATTTGACTTCTATCCGCAATTATCAAAGGGAATGGGGTACATTTTAAATGACAGTTGATTTTAGTTTCCATTTTAAAAATAAAAATCCAGATAATTTCAAATAGTTTATAAAAATGAGGTGATAATGTACAAAACCACAGCATGTTCAAGTGTCAAAATGACTCTAATTTGTAATTTAATTTTATAAATAAACATATCATCCACAAGTTATTACATAGACTTGATTTAAAGAAATGAACGTTTTAGCAGAACACATTTTCACTGAAGATGTATCTTCCTGTTATCTACAGAAACTAGTATTTTAAGAATGTAATATTGTGAAAATCAAAACAATAGATCCACAAATGTTCTCAAAGATTATTATGACAGAAAAATTCTATTACAGAAAATAATTACAAGTGAACAAATTGACCTTGAATTAATAAAACATGAAAACATTAATAGATTAAGACAGAAGGGCTTTTCAGAGTGGTTTTATCATAGATTCAGCTTTCTTTTTATTCAAATCACAAATCAGAGTACATGTGTCTGTGTGTGTTTTTTAAGGTAAACAATGAAAAAATATCTAGTGTACTACCAGGGGCATGAGTTTAGGAAAATACCACAGGTACTGCTTATAGAAATATACCTGGACTTAAATTATTACTTTTCAGTAGATAAAAATGGAACTCCATGTTCATTTTAAAAAATAAACCAAGAAAATGAATGGGTAAATATTCTTTTAAAATGAACACTTACCAAGGATAAAATATTTTAATTCAGTTTCTTCTTCACACTATATCAAAGTATGTAAGAAATGGTGTTGTGGTCAGAGTTTGGGATGCAAATACTTAACTGGGTAACCAGTAAGCCTCACCTTTAACAGAGGGCCTGCTGCAGACAGGGGCTGCTCTAGCCAGACTGGAGCAGCCCATGCCTGCAGTGGGCCCAGGCACCCCGCAGGCAGGAGCTGCTCCAGCCTGGCAGCTGCAGCCCCTGCCTCAAGCAGGTGGGATGTTCTAGCTCAACAAAGGTGGCTGGAGTAGCCCCTCCCTCCCCTTACTTTCCCTTTAACTGGTATTTCACATCCCTAACCAGAGTGCATGCTGTTCAGTTATTAAGCCGCTCCCAATTTTAATAGCTAATGCACCCAATTTCACAAGAATGTGGAGGACAAAGAGAGGATTTTTCTAAAAGAATTCTGGAGTGTTTGGCACTTTGCTGTCTATGAAACAGTTCTGAAGTTCTGTTATTGACTGTTAGTCAGACAAGCTAGAAATAAAGGACAAGACAGATTGCTGATGCAAATTCTGCTCCCATTTACACAGGTTCAATGAGAGTTGTACCCAGCAGAATGTGACCCACACCAAACAATGTAATTCAGAAATAGATAAAGGCTCAAGTTCTCCTCTGGTTTATACCTTTTGCAAAAAACATAGCTACCTCTCTGAAAACCTATTATATTCTATATGACTTTCAATATGCATAATAGGGTAAAAATTATCTTGAAATGTTCAAAGTTGTCCAAAGATTATGTTCTATATTTTTACTTCTATATAGTGTTGCCTTACATAAGACATACGAATGATGACATAAGAATTTACATAAATTTGGCACACCATCGTCTTATTTTAATCATTTTCATCTTCAATATTCTCAGACTGTTTTCAGTGTGAATGTCTGAATTCTCTATAAAGGGAAATTAGCACATATTTTTGCAATTCCTGTCATCTGATGTGCATGTGAATATTAAGTGCATGGCTAAAATAAAGGTTTGGTAGGAGAACCCACTACTTAAAAAAACAAAACAAAACAAAACAAGAAGGGGACCATGAGTCCAACAACTGAGGATTGATACAAAAAAAATACATACCTATTACCCATACATAATCCAAAATCTGCACCGGTATGCAGTGTATTTGCAGAATTTTTTAATTTTTAAAAAGTGCAGTGAGTTGACATGGAAAAAGAACTGTCTATGTATTCACTGTAAACTTGTAAAAAGGAATCTACTGTTTAAAAACTGTGCTAAAATAGTCAATTTATACAACAGATCACTAGATGAAGCTACCATATATTCCTCTTCAACAATTATTACTCTATTGTGTCAGTTACAGTTTTTATATAGGTAAAAGAAGCAAAACAGTGGTAGCTACTATTAGTGAGTACAACAAAGCAAGTGAATAATCTGAGTTCAATGCTTCCATGAAGTATCAACAACATTCAAACCACAGGACAGTTGGAAATTAGTACTTTGAAGTGCATAAGTCACACACTGTTGATCACCAGCAGTATGGAGCAGAATATATTAAAGTCAATAGTTATGGCTGGAAAGAACAAGCCAACAGATAAGATTACCTGTTATCCCATATGACAAATTTGCGGTTCCTTCCAAAGTCTGGGGTATGTCAGTAACAGACATCAAAATGTAAATGATAAAGATTAGCAACCATTTCAGTTTCCAGGTTTGGTACCTACCAAAACAAGGGTATTGCAAAGAACAGATTATCTTCCTTCCTTTCAAAGTTCTAGGATAACAGATCATTTGAACACCACTACGGTGTGACGATGCATGGGAATGATAAGCAGCCTCTACATTTGGCAACTTTCATTACTGCTATTAGTGAGAATTCATCTTGTCATAGCTTTAGGCTTCACAACCTCCAGGTGTAGAGTCTAGTCATCTTCCCATGCTGTAAACATTCAAAGCTGCTTCTTCGAAGCACATCCCGGTTCAGGGATTGTACAAGTAACTCAAAATGATTCTGTGGCCTTCATGTATAGTGATGCAGTAGCTTTCCCTAAGTAACTTTTGTCCTCTCATCTCTTCTACAGACCATTGCTATTCCTATGGCTGAGTGGTGGCTTTGAAAGCTCTACATTTACAACTGTGGAGCGAGATTTATTAAGAAACTTTGGAGCACGACGCAGCAGCCTCTGTGCCTCAGTAAAGGTTTCTGTCAGTTCTTTTTTCCACTGAACAAACTCTGGATCACTCTGAAAAGGATACAGAAGTTGTTAGGCATTTCATAATTGACTGCACATCATGGGGAATAGTGGTTTCTCTATTAGCATTTTTAAATAATATACTTTGTGTTTCAGATTGATAATACATATTTTTTTACCTTTAAGTATTGAGACAACCCAGAAGCAACAAAAGCTATTATTTTTCTTGAAAGTGACGGTGAATGTGTACTCCACTCTTTATGAGCTACTTGGCAATTAGTCTGCTTCTTTGTACAGACTAGGCTACTCCCAAGTTAGTCAGCTTTGAAAATCGTATCCATTATTATTAAACTGAATTCAATGCATTGTGACTGAAGTCCCATTGAAATGCAGGTTTTTGGACTTCATATGTAAAGTGTGGAAAATACTTCATGAGTTTAGTTTAAACTTGAATACATCAAATTGTGCATGCCTTTTCAATCCATAATGAGATGTGCTAAAATATTTCAGTGAACTAAGAAACACATTTAATGTTACAATTGGGTTTTATCATTGTATATAAAACATCTGTTTCAGTGATCACTGAAAAATTACTGTTGTCTCACCTCACACTGCAGGACAAATTGTTTTCCTCCTTTAATTCTCAGCAAGATGCACTTCTTATCTTTAATCTGAGTTTCTTCCACTGAGATGATCTGTTCCATAGTCAGTAGATTTTGCTACAGCACATTGCAAAAGGAAAGATGAATTACAATTTGAAGCTATTACCCAACAGACCTAAAACTGAATCTTAATTCATTGAGAATATAACACAGCAAATAGTCTGGTAGCACTTGAAAGACTAAGTTCTGGACTTCCAACAGTCTGGTCATCTGAAGAAGTGGGCTGTGCCCACAAAAACTCATGACACCATCTACATGTTTTGTTAGTCTTTAAAGTGCTACCAGACTATTGATTGCTTTTTAAGTTTTTCCAGTTACAGACTAACTCGGTTATTCCTCTGAACCTAGGTGAATAGTTACCCAGTGAATAAATGTTAGCATAATCTGATCCTTATTTTCTAGTAATACATTAACTAAAAATAGTTCATGAAGTAAGAGAAACTACTTAAAAACAAAACAAAACAAAACAAAACAAAACAAAACAAAACAAAAACTTACCAGAGTTGTTAGTTACTTATGGAGGAATAAAAAAGTTACTAAAAGATCAACTTATAACAGCATAGAACAAAAATAACAAGGAATCCTGTGGCACCTTAGACACTAAGGGTACGTCCAGACTACATGCCTCTGTCGCCAGAGGCATGTAGATTAGGCTACCAGACAAAGGAAAATGAAGCGGCGATTTAAATAATCGCCGCTTCATTTAAATTTACATGGCTGCCGCGCTGAGCC